AATATACATAATATACATAATATATATATATATATAGTCAGATACAACGCCTATTGGTTACGAAGTGATCTGTTATAAGCGAAAACCCTCAATGGGCGTATGCGTCGGGCGTGTTTCTTCTTTCCCCACTATCTCTCCGCACGTTTTGCATTGTGATTGTAGTTCGTCCTGATTCTACCGTGTGCACAGGCACATACATTATAGACAAGTGACGGATGAACCATCCACAATATATTATATTGTATAACCTTTGTACAGTATTCTAAGCAGCCACACCCGGCTGTGATGTGCTATTTAAGTCTTGCGCCACAAACCCTGACGAGTCTATAGGCTGAGTTTCTTCCTCCTCTACCAGTTCCACCGTCTTCTTGCTTTGTAACGTCCTGTCGCCCTTCTCCTTCTCATGAGGCTTGTTTGCATCCATCATCGATTCTCCATTCGCTTGCTTCCCGGGCGTTGCTGTTGCGTGGCTTTCCGTGTTCTCTTTATCGCTCGTCTGTATATCCGCAGTTTCTTCCTCTCTAAGTACAACATCAGTGTGTGCAAAAGTATCCTTCTCTTTGTCTTGTTGCTTGTCTTTGGGTGCTTTCGTAGGCTCGGCTGGTTTGCTGAACTGAAAGGATGCCAGTGACGGCTTGGACGCAGCTTTCCTCTTCTCCACGGGGCGTTTCTCAGTACTTTTATCTGTTGCGAAGGTTTCCTGTGATTCCACAAAACGAGATGGTGGTCGAGTGTCAGATTTATATATATATATAACTACAATATTATACACACTTATACCATACATATACATGAACATGAGTATTGCACTTTCGTCCGGCTATTGGTTAGTGCACCACCCAGCCTACCTTCTCCACCACAACTATGTCGTCAGTTTTTTCATTGTCGTCAGCTTGCGTGTCCTCGACCTCAGGGTTCTTTGCCTTCGCAAACGGATTTGACTACAGGTGATGAACGAGAAGATGGTGAGACTACAGCCGCAAGCTTGTGCTTTCATGCGCGCAAGGATGAGGTTGTTTGTTTTGGGTGCATATAAATACATGCACAAACAAACT